AAAAAAAAAAAAAAATGAATATGATTAGCAAGTTTTCTAAATAATTCCATTGTATTTAGGATAAAATAATACAAATTGAAGCCAAAAAGTTTAGACTGAGAACTATAATCAGGACTATACTTTCAATTTACACTAATCTATCATATTTCATAGGTTCAAAGTTCAATGTACATATTAGTTTGCTCAATTGAGTGATTTTCCATTTTAGCTTAACTTAAAATAGCCCTTAATTGATCACCTGTGTGGCTTCTCATTTCTGAAAAGGTTCCAATTCGAGATATATTTTTGGCCAAGTGCAGTGGCTCAGGCCTGTAAACCCAACTACTCCAGAGGCTGAGGCACGAGAATCACTTGAACCTGATTGAAGGCAGAGATTGAAGTGAGGTGAGATTGCGCCACTGCACTCCAGCGTGGGTGACAGAGCAAAACATTGTCTCAAAAAAAAAAAAAAGATACATTTTGACAAAATACAAAACTGAAAAGTTTTATATGAACATTTAACATTACCATTCTCATTATGTATCTATGTACTTAGTATCCTCACCTCGGCTTAAAAAAAAAAAACAACTAAAAATAGTACGCTGATGTTATCAGCTACAAAGAAAATTAATGATGTATTCCATACTGAATCACAAAAAGCATACAATTTGGATTAAGATGACCTAAATATGATTCCTGTCTTCTCCACTTTTTATATAACTTTAAACAAGCTATTTTAACTTTCCCAATCTGTTTTATCATTGATTAATGGGGATAATATCACCTACCTCACTGCAGAGATGTAAAGAAACCAAGCATATGGTACAATTCACCACTTTCTGAGCACAGTAAATGCTATCATAAAGACAGGGGAATCTTCCATAGCAGTTTATCAGTACACATTTTGAGACCTAACATAAATTAAATCACATCTCCTAAAAGCTGCTGATCCAAGTCAGCAAGGTCTAGGAGAAGTAATAAAAAGGAAGTCCCATACTAATTTTTAGTAGCCAATATTGAGTGAAATTTTATATCTAAAATACATCAAAATAGGACTATTTTAAGAGGCATAGAAGGCTTGTTTAAAAAACGAAAAGAAAAAAAGCTAAGGTAAAGCAAAAAATAATAATCATTTTCAGTTTACTGACAACATTCAGACAAAGAAGTACAATAGTATGTTTTAAAATCTATCAAAAGAGCTGAAAACTACTTGAAAGGCAGCTGAGCAAAATGGTCAGAGCTCTCTACTGAGAGAAGATGAGATTATAGTTTCAACTGTCACTAATATTTAATAATTGACCTTAGACAAGAGTCTCCGGGCTTCAGTTTCCTAATCTTTAAACGACTACTAAAAACTATAGCGAAAATTTAAGTACAATTTAATCTGGGCCTTACTTTGGAGAGGCAATCTAGAGAAGAAGTTAATAGAATGGGCTAGGTAGCAACTGTCAAGGTTGGAATCCTGGTTTTGCCACTTAGAAGCTGTGCAGTGTTCACACAAAAAACACTAAAGTACAGTTTACTTAATACTATCACTGATTTACTGCTTAAAATATTTCTCTAAAACACAAAATTGCATTAAAATACAGAAGCTAGGAAAGTTGTGTCTTTCCAAATCATTTCACTGGCAGACAACGGAGCAGTTCATTTTAAAGTATTAAAACTCTAAAACATGCTAACATAAGCCAAGTTTAATCAAAAGATCATCTAATACTACACATTAGAGACTAAACACGTATTATAAGGCTAATTGTTCCCACCACCATATCACACTTAGGGTAAAAATGGAACTTCTGCTACTTGTTAAGTCTTTTTTCTAATCTATTACTGCTAATCACAACACAAGCTTATAATATAACCATAATTTCCAAGAATGAAATTAACTCCAAGAACGAAAAATCTGTATAATTTAGAAATATAAAGCGAACTTCAAACAACTAAAAATACGTAGTGCAGAAGTTACAACCGGTCAGTAAGTATTTAGTATATGCCAGGCTCTGTGCTTAGATTAGGTACAAACAGCAAAGTATAAAGTTCCTCAAACTTAGTCAAGTTACAAGGACTTGAAATTTCAGGCAGGTGCATGCTTTATCATCACTTGCCAGAAAATAAAAGCCACTCACCTACAAATGTTTTTATTTCCTTTTTGGCCCACGTAAGAATAGTGCCCAATGCCCACTAAAACTGCTTCGTATTCAGTTCAGCCCACAAAAATGCCCAAACCAGTCAGTTCCTCACGTCAGGATCCTCACAGTACTTAAAAGTGAACGGCTTCGAAAAAGGTATTTCATCAAATCACAAGCTTCCGTATTTTAAGTTCAGTGACACCTAACACCTGCAGATACTACTAAACATAACTGGGCTAACCTGAGTCAAGTACCTAGTTGCACCAATTTAGTTCTTCCCTTTAAAGTGCTGCCAGTAAAGGCAAACTCTACTTCTTCAAAAAGTCGGCTTTTTGAAATGCCCATTAGGCACAGAAAAGGGAAATTGATTGGTTCGTCACAGTTGCCCTACTTCTATTTCAGGTCCAAGGAACAAAACTATTCCACAGAGAGTAGCAAGGGGGCCACACGCAAATCTAGGAGGCAGATGCTAAACCGAACTTTGTCGATGACCACGATTTAAGCTAAAGGTGGTGGGTGTGGGGGAGGGGGACAACACAACTCAACCATCCAAGTGTAGCCTGGGATAAAAAGTCCACTTCAAGAAGCAGGCAAAGTAGGGGGTGGGAAACACACCGGTAGGGCCGAGCAACCACCTCAGGATGCTGACCGAGCTCGGAGGCGGAGGGCCCCGGAGCCCAGGGACCGGAGAAAGGAGACCTCGGGCAAATCTTAGAAAAGGAACCAGCTGTAACGTGGGGAGGCCAACGCTGCCACAGAGTAGCGTGTAAGGGGACACCAAGAAGGGAGCGATGAGTTAGAAGGGAGCGATGAGTTAGAAGGGAGCGACAGCAGGAAGGAGACCAGTGCCAGGGGCGAGTGGCGAGTGGCAACTGCGAAAGGCGAGGCACGGGCAGCCGGAGGTGGTGGGACTCTGTTGAGTCAGCACAGCTCCTGCTCTGGGGGCACTTGTAGGATCCCCGCTGCTCATCGGGCCCCCGGGCCCGCAGCGTAGGGTCAGGCCCACCATCCGGAGAGATGATGTTCTCTGACAGGCTGGCGTCGGCCCCTTCCCCATTTCACAGGTAAACACTGGCCACCGTCGCCGCTTACCTCAGTTAACATTATTACACCCCGGGGAAGTGAGGTCCTCCCTAGCCTCGCCTCATGGCAACAGCCGTAGCAGCAGCGAAAACTGCTCGGGCCGCCGCCAACGGCGGCAACTGCTCCTTCAGTCCTCTCCGGGGCGGCTGCTTTACTCGGCTTTGCTGACTTCCCCCCGGCCCGGTCGCTCGCGACGGACGCGCCGCCATCTTGGAAGAGCGACGTCCGCGTCTCCCTGCAACGTGCACTCCCATTGGCGGGCTCAGGGGCTGCCAGCGACTCGTGACCGTCTCCATAGCGCCGGCGCGCGGAGAAGTGGAGGCGGGCTCTAGGCTGTCGGCTCTGCGCTGGCGGGGAGGACCCCGGGACTGGGCGCCTGGGCCAACTTGGGACCACTGGGAGTGCCGAGAGACCACAGCACCAGAGCCTCCACTGCACCGACGCACAGGCCCGCCAGGCCGGCGCATCTTCCGCCGCCCACTAGGGTTGGCCGGCCCTGGGAGGGGAGAGAATGGCAGAGGCCTGCACTTCGACTGATGGCGTTGCGGACCTCACTGCTTTCGGGGGACAAGGCGGCAGATTTCCCGTAGAGGAACTTCCCTCTCGCATCTCCCTGGCCCCGCGGCGACTGAAGAGTACTCTTGGGGTTCGGCTTTCTTCTGCGATTTAAGTATTATTTGAAACAGCTCCCTGCGCGGCCCTTTTCTCCTAAACTTTGACAGAAACTTTGCTTTGTCCCTACCAATCCTCAGTGAGTTCTTTAGAGGGGTCCGAGACAGTTTGTAGATAACGATACGCGTTTATTGGCTTTACCCTGTCCTAGCAAAGTTAGGACTGTGGCTGACGTGATTGGCCCGCACCTCCCTAACAGCCTAACAATGGAGGTTTAATTATGCTACTATAGTAAGACACCTCTAAAAAAAAAAAAAAAAAAAAAAAAAAAAAAAAAAAAAAAAAAAAAAAAAAAAAAAAAAAAAAAAAAAAAAAAAGTAAAACAGGCTTTACGTTTTACCTGCTATCTCTACGGGTTTACTGGCTTCTTAATACAATATGCTTGTGTAGCAAGGTGAGCAAATTTCAGCAAATGTCATTGTAAATAGTCCCAGCCTAAATGGAATTGAACTCTGGAACCAATGTGCATAGAAGTCCCTGAGCTGACGCCATTCTAGATCTACCACTAGATGGTTTGCGATGTATGGAATTTAAAGGCAGTCACTTCTACCTGAATTGTGATGAAAGTAGTGTGCCTGAACACGCTGGGAAAGTGTGCTACCCTGTTTTATATTAGAAACCGGTTTCCAAGGAAATTGAAAAGTAAACTTTCGGACTTGA